GCGCGTTCATTGAACGCGGTACCATGCAAATACAGTCACAAATGGTGGCATGTAATCTGCACCCGAGCCTGTTGGATTTGTTGTGAAAGTATGGGCATGATTTCCTGCGGTTCCACAGAAAATACCTGCGCTTGAATCTACTGGGTCACTTGAAATATCATATCTATGCATTCCCTGTCTATCCGAACCTGCTGCAAGATTTGTATAACCTCTTTTTGTTATTGAATGTGAATGACTACCTGTTGTGTTTGTAGTTCCTGTATGAGTGTGCGGTGGAAGGTTTGCTTCAGTAATTTTCTTCGAACCTCCTGTTTGCTTTGAAGAGTTAGCACAGTATAAGAATTTGTCTACAATCTGCTGCCATGTACCAAAACCTAAAACTGTTGCTGGATTTGTTGAGTTCATTGACGTATAAATAGAGCCTATAGGATATAATGTTTGAAGAATCTGAGTCTTTAATGTTTGAAGCTCTGTTTTGTCTGCTTTCTTGTCATATAAATCTTGAGCAGTGAATTTAATATTATGTTCATCCTTCATGACATAAACATCTTTACATCTAATGTTTCTCATCGTCGTTATGTCGTCATCCGATGTTAAACCTTGTGGAAAGTTAGGAGGTTTACAATATAATACAGGCTTCCCCACCAGTTTCTTCAACCGTTCCTTCAATACTTTCTATAGCAACAGTTGTGAAATTTATGTGTATGGTTCTTGTCTGCTTTCTTATCTAACATTGCTGGTAGTTCATATGCTTCAAAGTTTCTGGCATGACCTTCGATATTCCTGCAACTCTTATCTAAATTGTTAAGAGTATCTTTTACGCTTGTACTTGGATTTTCTAATGGTGCACTTGAACCAAGGTCAAAGTTCAATATTATGTCGTCTGCTCTAACAGTAGTGAAGGATTTATGTGTATGGTTCTTGTCAGCTTTACTGTCTAAAGAAGTTTGAAGTTCATTTATATCGGAGATGTTGTGTTTATGAGATTTCAAAACTTTGTTCGTTGCGTCAAGTTCTTTGTCAGCTTTACTTTTAATAGCATCTTCAAACGTTATTTTTGACTTAACTCTCAAAGTAAATCTTGGTTCAACTAATACACCGTTAACAGAAAGTAGAGGCATAAATTTCACCGTTATAACCAAATGCTTCTGGTGCTTTACCTGTGTCATACTGTACAGTACAGCTTATGTCATAACCTTTAGCACGAATGTATTTATATCTTCTTTCATTAACATTTTTGTCTTCGCTTCATCACTTCGTGTTAAATATCCATGGTAGTCCGTTATAATCTGTTCGTCTGAAGTTATATAATGAACGTGGTTTTTATCTGCTTTTTCGGCTAATTTCTCATTAACATCATTCACTTCTAATTCAACTCTTCCGCCAGAACTCTTATTATCATTAATCTTTTTCATTAATTCGGTAATTACGTCATAAAGACTATATTCTGTTTTCGGTTTTGTAAATAATGAGTCAAAATTTCTTTTCATCATTACATCGCTGACATTAATGATATCACCAATTCCTTTTTCATTTATTCTCTTCATTAATTCTGCAATAATGACGAATATATAATCTGTTAATTTATTCTCTTCATCGAGGGTTATAGAATGTTTTGAAATTGAATCATTAACTCCTCTAAATAAATCAATAACTTCAGGATACACGTTTTTAATGTCTTGAATAACCCGACCAGTATCCTCGCCACTATGTGGCTCTGAGCCCGTTGGGCTCTGTTGTTCATGTTCTTCGTTCCCGTCGTTACGTGGTTTTATATCTCTAACCATCATCAACGCAGCCATAACCGGAGGGTTTGTTGCTACCTGTTCGAAAATCCGTCCGTTATGTATGGTATATCTAAATAATTTCTTTGTGTTTGTTAAAACATTTGAAACAAGTCTTTTAAAACCATCTACAAAATTTCCTGTTTCACCTAATGTTCTTGCAGCATTTACAAGCTCACCCATTCCCGCTTTTGACCCCAAAAACGTCCATATTGCATTTATTTCACTCTGTATAGTTGTCCATTCAGCGAAACTAACACCCGCATTCGCTAAGCTGAAAATGAAATTCAGTGGATCGAACTTAATTCCACCTTCTTTTTCAATTTCAACGAACTCACTAACATGAGATTTTAAATATTCTTTCGTTAAAATTGTTTTCCCCGATGTTATGTCATTAACGAAACTATCACCGTCAAAAGTTAACGAATTCAATTTCGTCGTTGATGCTTTTATTTCATACACCGCTTTATCGATAGTTTTTGGCTCACCTTCTTTAGAAGCATATGAAACATTAATGAATGAATTATATGTATTCGTGAATGAGTTAAAATCAATGATTTTCATTAATGACGCCTTTAATGATTCATTAACTGTTGAATCCCTTAAACAATTAATGAACTGTCATGGGCTTCGCCCTGGTCGCTTCGGTCTGAAAGACCTTCAGGACTCAAAGAGTCCGTTTGCGACTTTATGAAAGGTACACTGCAAACCGTCGAGTTTGGATCAAATGCTGTAGTTGGTGCAGGAATATTAATGATATAAGTCATTAAATCATTAAGTGACGTAAATAATGTTGTCGTTTTTGATTTAATTTCTTTAGCATCTGTTATATATGGTAATTTTATTTCTGTAGTTTCTGAATTAAAGATATTCGCTAAAATGTTTTGTAAACTGTTTTGAACAGCAGTATAAACCGTTGAATCCGGAACTCTTACGATTTCACCGTCCTTAATAAAAGGCATTGCACATGTAGTGCTTGGGTCAAATCTTTCGGGATTATAATTCAACATATATTCTAATGCTTCATATACAGACTTATATACTGTTGTGTCGTTCTTCATGACAACTTCACCATTTACAATGAATGGCATTGTACATGGAGTTAAAATAGGGTCAAACTTTTCATAGTCCTTCCATGTTATGTATTTCTCGGTATTTCCATCACTGATAACAATATATTTGTCAGTAAGTGTGAGAGAGTATTGACCAAAATATAAACGTTTAGCTCTGTCAGCTTCATACGCATATGCAGCTATACTCATATTTTAATGAGAATAAAATGTTGTTCTATTTGCAAAGTACAGACCCAAACGAATACGGGACAGTAAAGCTACAAACAAACTTAGGTCTACAGAATGAGCACTTGCATTCAGAATGGTTGACTTCAATACTATCGCTTCATTCGTTATAACAGATGAAACAGATTTCATGGAGCTTGAAATAGATGGAAAGAAGCACGAAATAAGATTTCACAATAATGTAGAATATAAGATGGAAACATTAGCTGGAGTGTTAAATGCTCTCATAAATACTACAATAAACAAGGATAACGAAGAAAACTTAATGAATGTTAAACTTATTGCAGGAGTTTTGAAGTTCAGTTATGCGAAGGAGTTTAAGATAACACGAATGAGTCATAGAGTTCAATTGCTTCTGGGAGCATACCATATGACATTTCCTTTGAAAAGTGTTGACAAAACGATTGAGATGAAATCTGTTCCATACGTATGTTATGGTAATTGTTTATACATTGAGTCAAAAATAGCTAATGTCACAGGTATTTCAGGAGTTAATAGTAAAGGTTCAGTAGAATATAAGTCTTTCTGTTATGCAGTCAATTCAATGTTCATTCCAAACGTTCCTGTCATAGCAACTCATTTAGGTAAATGGGTTCGCATTAGTCCTCATAATTTGAAAGACATGCAATTCAGACTTGTTGACTTTCAAGGAGAGCCTGTAGAACTGAAGGCACCAGTGCGAATGACTGTTGAAGTTGACTTTTTAGAAAATATTAAATGCAACAGCTTACAAGAGAACTCAGAGCTAAAAATATAAAGTATGAATGTTATGTATTAGGTCATGAACTTTGGTTGTTGCTGTTTGATGAAACAAATGAGTTAGTTATGTCAGTCAAGAGAACAGAAAAAGGCGTCAAAGGCGCCGAGCGCAAAGCGCTATATTGTGTTAGTGAAAACTGCACCAAGTCAATAAGATTAGGTTTGCATTATGAAGATGAGTTCGATACTGTTGAAGAAGTTTTGGATAGATATTACAAATTGCTTTAATTTACTAAAACATATTTCAAACAAAGTTTATATTCTGTTGAAAGTTTTGTATACTCGTTCGAATATTTATACTTAAACTCAACTCCTGTAGTTCCTGGTGTTTCAATGATGCGGATGTTACCTATTTTCATGAATGGTGGCGTTTGACCACAGCATTCGATTTCAGGGTCGAGATAGTCAATGACACATTGTTTCCCTGTTATTCGTGATATAACATTTTCAAGGTCCTCCTTTGTTAGAATTATTTGGTTCTTGCTTATAAGATTTGTCAAAAGCTTCTTATCGTCTTTGAGTAAAATTGTTTGGTATAACTGAAGAAGGTAATGGTCTACGTTATCTGAAGGATTTGTTTGAACATTTGTGTAAGGGTTGTCGTTGGCTTCTCTTGAAAGAATTTGGTCCAGTGGTGGATACTCTAACTTAACATCTGATGTAGCGTTAGCGTTTGAAGCTGAGTTTAAATTCACGGATTTCAGTTCTGGTTCTTTTTCTTTCAAACACTCTGAACTATAGTTCTTTATGACAATATTGTTTGTCGTTCGTGAGTCAACATTTGATGTTGGTTCAATTGGAACATTAACGGCACCAGCTAAGATGGATTTGCTTCTCATTTCATATAGAATAAAAACCTTTTATATGTATGAAATGAACAATATACTCGACAAGGGTTTGAATGTAAAGCTAACGAATGAAAATATTGTTGAATTCACTGAGACAGGAGCTGTGTATAAAGATGTAGAACTACTGAACAAAAGAGCTAAGGGAAGAAGCAGGAACATGAACAAAGGGTGGAAGCCTATAAAAATTTATGTCAATGATGGCTCAGGAGGTTCAAACATAAAGTATGCAGAAAGTTATAGAGTTTATGCTCTCAAAGGTGAAAAGCCTTCATTTAAGAACAGCTATTCTAACGCATATCCTCAAAAGCTAACGGATGGGAAGTGGATGATATGAATGACAGCAAAAATATTAACAGAAATGGCGACAGAGATGCATGGAATTTGTTTACCATCAGTCAATTGAAGGTTAAACTTTAAAACAATGTTGGTCGTTCCCATGGAATATTTTTGACTTTAATGGTATTAGTCATGATATGAATCTCAAGGTATGAACGAGGAGAGATGAGAGACTTATATGCTTCCCAAATTTCTTCAAAAGGTAATGTTATACCTGACTGTTTCCAAATGAGTTCAATATCATAACGTGAGAAACCTTGAAAGATAACGAAGTCAGTTATGAGACGTTTTATGTTTAAAGCAAGGAAACGCCATGTTTGCATAAGTATTGCTACAGTTAAGTGGTAATGTCTGACTTTAGTTATGATGTTAGCTAATGGTGAGTCAGGCTTTGAAACTAAACCTTTTCCGGCGAAGTCGTCACAAACGAGCAGAGTGTTTGAAGGATACTTTTTGAAGGGGTATTTTGAAAGTTTTGATAGAATGTAGTTTGTCAGTCGTTTCATATCGTAAACTCCTGAGTATTGACGTAAGTGGTGTTTGTCAATAATTCTTTCCATCTCTTCTGAAGTCTTTTGCATTCCTGACTGTATAAATTCAACGATGGCATAATATTTTCTCTTACGTCGAATGTAACGTTGAAGAAATTCAATGAGTTCACTGTCTGAAACTTTAACGACAGAGGCTTGAACTTTTGACATAAATGTTTTCGCTGTTGAGTCCATAGAGTCTGAAGTTGCTGATATAATGATTTGGTCATAATATGAGTCATTTCCTAAACGCTCTGTTATGAGTATATGACGAATGAGGTTAAATGTCTTACCTGAACCCATCTTTCCACAATAGAAATAAACACCATTTGAACAGAACTCATAGTCCTTACTGAAAGGAAGAATGAGAGAAGAGTTAAGTTTGTCTGTAGTTTCATTCATGTCTTCATCTACGTCATGTATTAAATGCTTCATTTTATCTCCATTAAAAATGCAAGTCAGAAATATTCAGAACATAGCACCGAGTCTAACTGACAAGAGTATAAAGATATACTATGAACACGTTATGATGAAACCAACCAAAATTCAAGAAAGTCAGTATACTTATGAATATCCAAGACACTGGGTAGAGTATGTAGGAGGTGAGAAAGCTATTGAAATAAGACAAGTTAGAAGTATTCCAGCAGGAAGAACAATATTATTGAAGAACTTTAATGTTTTGATATAATGATGAAACAAAGAAGCAAGATAGTTTTCCTGTTGCTGTGTATGTGAACCTAGACACAGGAGATGACATGAAAGTTTTTAACACAAAGCTTCAAACGGTAGTGAGAGAACAACTTACTGCGGAAGGACATCCATTACCTTCAGAAGTTACCATAGCATATAATTTTGAAACAAACTCAATAGATTTTAAATCGTCTCTGCAAAGAAGTCAGGTTTTACATTTAATGAAGCAGATGTATATTCGAATGAAAACTTCAAAGCTATTGCATGGTTAGATAATGACGATTGCTTTAAGAAAATATTTAAATTCAGTGACTCAACGATGTCAATAGATGACCTTCGTGGAATGTTACCATCGACGTTTACAGTTGAAGGTTCAGCAGGATTGCTTACAAGATTGTCAATTGGTGGCATTTGGTCTCGTGAGAACATTGTTATAAAATCCAGTATAAGTGAATTTGCTGAAGAATCTATATTATGTCTTTCAAACTATATGTATTCGCCGCCAAAGCATTATAGTATAACAAACTTTGTCAGTAAGTTTAACATAAGACTTGTCGAACCTTCTTCAATGAAAGATGTTGTGCTACCTAAAGATGGAAAGGATGGACTCATTATTGAGATGATTTTAATAGCATATTAAATGAGCTTGTTCTTGAAGGTCATTCATGATGAAATAACTGTTGTAGAAGATGTTAGCAATTGTTCAGACATTTTATTGAGAATAGATGAGATAAGAAAGAAGTTAGATAGACCGCAAACGGACTCTTTGAGTCCTGAAGGTCTTTCAGACCGAAGCGGTGAGGGCGAAGCCCGTGAGAACGCTTATGTTTCATTGACTTTCTCCAGTAACGAGAACTTTTATGAGATAATATTGAAGAGAGATGATTTTAATATGGTGTAAATGGTAGCTTGGGCAGCTTTAGGCGCAATGGGAACAAAAGCATTAGCATTTGGAGCAAAAGCACTTGGGGCTTATGACGCAGTAAATAAAATGAGTGGAGGAAGAGTTTCGAAGACATTAGATGCAAATAAAGGAAAGATTGGAGGCTGGGTTGCAAAGAAGTTAAGATTAAATAAAATAGGGCTCATAAATAAAGCATCCAATTTGGTTGCGACTGAGTCAGAAAATGCTTTAGGAAAGGACGATGAGTTTGCAAAACACGCAAAAGACTTTAATGACCAGATGAAAGGTGAAACAATGCATTTAAATAGAGTCGATGGAACTAAAGAAAATGTTTCTTCTCCACCAGTAGTTCTTCCGTATGGTCCCTATGGAATGTATGGAAACCCTTACGAAAGACCATTTAACCCATTGACTGGTGGAAGTAACTGGTATCATTACGGACGAAGAAGAAAGACAGTCAAGTTGGAGACAGACGTGAAGAAAGCAACTAAAAAGAAACCAAGGAAGAGAGTTATAAAGTAATGAATTCAAGTGGGTGAAAAAAGAGGTGAAAAAAGAGGTGAGATGTCACCACTTCACCTAAATTTATTTTTGTGCTATGTTTTCATACGTGTGAGGGTGGTGATATCATTAATTTTTAAGTTTATTTTTAAGTTTATTTTTAAGTTTATTTGGATGTAAATGACGAAAACTATTGAGATAACAAACTACAACGGTCATGAGTTCAAGAACTTGTTCTTCGTTCCTCGTGAAAATACATTCTATCAGATACGAGGGAGAAAGGGTAAAGTTAGTTTGAGCGTTTATGAAGGAATGAAGAATGGAAAGTTTATACAAGCATACGATACAAACGGTAAACGTGTTTCATTAGCTTTGTCAAAACTTACAGGTATAAACTATGACAGTGATTTTGACCTATATGAAGAAGAAAGTGAGTCAGAAGATTATGAGCTGTTATATGAAGCACAGCAATGGGAGGAGTTGCAATACTTTTGTAAGTGAGAACGTTTATTTTTACAGTAGTAAGGTGAAGTGGTTGGCGGCTTTATAAATATTTAAGGTTAAGTTGGTGTTGTCGTTTGTGTTGTAAAATATATGTTAACGGTTTCGTGAAGTGTCAAAACCGTTAAGTTGTGTATGGAGACGTGCAGTGCCTCAGTACACAACTTAGGTATACTAACTAATTTAAATGAAGAAGTAATTTAAAACAATTTTATTTATGATCAAATTTTATATATGTTTATTGTATAGACTTTCATTATGAATTTATTGAACAAATAGATGATTCACATACATGCACATTTGTTATATACTCGCCGTTTAATGAAGTAGCAGAAAAGAGACAAAGTGATTTTAGGATAGGTTTTAAAATTTCTCAGTATAATGAAGACTTCATGAATGTATTTAATTATAAACCCGGAGAAGAACGAACAGTGTTATCACCAATAATAACATATAATGTATGGGACAGAAAACAAGTCATTTTATATTCAAATATCGCTAAAGGGGTTGAAAATGAATTTATCGGCCATACTAGAGCATCACCATTAACAAATATTAAATATTATAAGTTATCAGGAAATAATAGGGAGTTTTGGATTGATATGTATTCTACACACGATCATAAATGCCCCGTTGTGTTACCCGAAGACGGAAAGGATGTTTTCTTCCTTGAGGCTCAGTTACTGAATTCAACTATCGCAACTTTATAAGAAAATTCATGTAAATTCACAGGGTTAGAAAAGAGGTTAGAAATCGGGTTAGATCTAACCTTCTACCCTAAATATATTTTTGGTGTAAATTTATGAGGGTAGAAAAGAGGTTAGAAATCGGGTTAGATCTAACCTTCTACCCTAAAATTAATTTTATCATTTATGAAAAATTTAGTATATACAGAAATTAAAAAAATTTTGAGTTAATTTATTTTTAAGTTTATTTTTTTACTCTGGGTGTTAAAATCTATGATAAAAAAAATAAATAAAAAAATTTTAACGTTAATTTTTAAGTTTATTTTTTTATTTTGTGAAGTGTCAAAAATTTTAACGTTAATTTTTAAATTAATTTTTTTATTTTGTGAAGTGTCAAAAATTTTAACGTTAATTTTTAAAGTTAATTTTTAAAAAATTATTTTTTTTTATTTTTGTAAATGTCGAAATATTTTACGTGTCAAACGGTTTTTTGCAGATTCTAGTAATTTGAGTACTAAGAGGCGTAGACCCTTGGTACCCAATTACTAGATACTAACTAGCTGACGTTACAACGCATTACAACCCGGTTAATACGAGCATATACATTAGAGCTGCTTTGTTATGATCTCCCTCATCAATTGATGAGAGATCTCATTATGAAGCAGCTCCAATCGAACTAAAAACCTACATACAAATGAGTGAAAACAAACTCATTAGAGTTGTGTTGCTTTGATTTCTCTCATCAGAAGATGAGAGATACCAGAACAAAACAACTCTAATCAAACTTTCTACACAACTCAGCACAGTATCAATGCAAAGTAATGCGTCTGTATCGTTAACAAGCAAAGTTGTTTCGGGTCCTTCCATTTTGGAAGAATTCGGAACAACTTTGCGAATTGATAGTGTAAACCCATATACATGAAAGCGTGCATGCATAAAGACAGGTATTGTCAGCAATGACTACCTACCCAGCTATGAGTGATCAGAGAATTACCATCTCAGGCTTTTTGAGAACGTTTCAGCCAGGACCCTCGTATGTTGACTGTGAGAAAGGCATCCTTTATCTGAAATAGATGCTTTTCCAACAATCAAATTCGAAGATCTTCGACGTTGTTGTAAAAAGAAAAGGAGAAGGAAAGAAGAGGAAGGAGAGGAAGAAGGAAAGGAAAAGAAGAAGAAGAAAAAAGAAAAAAAAGAAGGACATATTAAATATAATGCGCACTTAATAGTGCCGAGGCGCGATTTTTTTGACCCTATATTACCGCACGGCAATGTTTTTCTCGATTTTGTACAGCCCTAAATAAACGATGTTGTAAAATCATATTCTACCTTCGATAGTATGAAATTTTTAATTTTTAATTTTTTTTCTGGATTAAATATTTGAATCATATAAAACATACTGATTCTGTAATAAACAGAAATTCATCAAAAGTGACAGCTCTCAATTTTTTGACATTTGTAAATTCTAAATTGAATGAGAAAAATGAAATAATACTAAGCATAATACAATATTCTAGATTTAATTATAATTAGGAAAAAGTTAGTTTTGAGAGTACTTTTCATAGGCATATAGAATGAAATCTTCTGAAAAATAATATCACATAAACTCATATTATTTTCTAATATATAATATTTTATATAAAAATCAAATTCAATGATCTTAAAAGCGAAGGATAAACCTCAAAATTTACGAATATAATGAGTGGGAATATTTCATATGGTTTTATGATAGATAAGCATTATATTCCCACTCATTATATTCGTAAATTTTGAGGTTTATCATTCGCTTTTAAGATCATTGAATTTGATTTTTATATAAAATAGTTATATATTAGAAAATAATATGAGTTTATGTGATATTATTTTTCAGAAGATTTTGTGTTCTTCTTCAAAATTTTATTTTTTTATTAAAAAGAATCTTTACAAAATATACATTTACTTAAATTAATATTTAAAAACGTGCTCTATCAAAAGTTCCAAAAATTCAATATTTTAGCTTTTCTGAGGTGTCACTTTTGATGAATTTCTGTTTACAACAATTCCATCTAAACGATGTGTTTTCCCCATTAATCATCCATTTGGTAAGCATTATTTTATATCCAATATATTTGACTGAAATCCTAATTTAATCCTCTGTATATGAATTATCTAGCAAGTACACATCATAATTCCAGCTTCCATGTAGCTTTAGTATTACCAATTACTAAGATTCATGAAATAACGTAATCCAATTGAAAACAATGTGTTAACTGTTTAACATTTGGATGTTTTAAGTTCATATTTTCTTAATTCTGGCTATTTTTAAAAAATGTTACAGATTTCTCGTTGGATTTGCTATGAGTCAGGAACGCAATCCAACCAATATAACGATTTCCTTCTGTTTATTAGTGATGATTCAATGAAAATTCCAGTGATTTGCTGCGTAAATTCAAGTTTAATTCATGAAAAATTCGTTAAGATGCGCGATTTACTAAAAAACGAAAAGAAACGAGCAATGATATATACGAAAAATCCATTTGAACTACAATGCTTATTCAGATATTTGAACAATCAATCATTTTCTCTTCCTTTAGACCGCTTGCAAATTTTAAATGAAGAATTTAAACGATACGATATTGCTATGATACCAACAAATAAATTTTATCAAATTCCATCACAAGCCGAAGAATTTATAAATATTTTATCAAAAACAATCAAAAGCAATAAAAATTATCAACTGTTTCGACATTCATTTATCCAAAACTATAATATCCTTAAGAATTCACCATCATTTAAAGAATTGCCGATGAAAATTATTGTCGAACTTTTACAAAATGGAATTGAAAGTGACGTAAATCCAACAGTCACACGAAATATTATCTCTGATATTATTGAAAATCTCGAAACAAAGTATCAAACTCAGAAAAAGAAGTATAAAACCAAAATTACTGCATTGCTCTCTGAAATAAATAGATTGGGCCCATATGATAATGATTCTGAAAACGTATCTCAGCTTAAAAAGCAAATAAACGATCTTACCGAACAATTAGATTCAATAACTAAGAAACAATCACAGGAAAAGCCAAGTTCTCCAAGTAAGGTCAACATTTACGAGAAAAATGCAGCAGATTTACAATACATTGCTGAACTTTTGAAGAAAATTCAAGAATCAAATGATGAAATGCTCAAAATTCAACAAGAAAACGAAGACATGAGAGCCCAATCAATAGCCGATAAAGATGAGCTCGAATCTCTTAGATTCAGCCTTTCAGAATCAGCAAAACAGATATCTCAGCTCCAAATCCAAAACGATTCGCTTTCCAAGGAAGTTTTTAAGACACAAAAGAAACTTGACTCCAGCATGCAAAAATATTCAGAATCAATGACGAAACTTTCACAAAATTCCGATGCAACGATACAGAAACTTGATAAAGAAAAAAGAATATTACAGAGCGAATATGATAATATTAAAGCTCAATTTGATAAAATTTCGAAAGAAAATGAAGAAAATAAGAAATCTAAAGATTTTCTTGAAATTGAGCTTTCTGAGAAGTCCAAATTAATCCAGGCTGCTACACAGCGTGAAATTATGAGTACACAAGAGAAAGAATTCCATGAACAGTTAATCAGTCAAAAGAAGAAACAAATTGAAAGTTTAAACGCAGAATTAGTGAGCCACAATTTGGATATTCAACGCTACAAGACCATTATACAACAATGGAATCAAATGAATGATGAATTATACAAGACAAAGAAACAATTGGAAAAATGTAAAAAATCTGAGATGCAAAATCAACTTAATGATACTAAACTCTATGAGCAAAGCAAATCTATTGAACAATTAACAGAAGAAAATAGAAAATTAACTGAATCTAACGAACAATTAAATAAAATCATTCAAGAACTGAGAGATTCCTATAACAAAGAAAAGATTCAATGGGAAACAGAGAAAGAAGACCTCAAAGATCAAATATCTCAGCTCTCAATGTCACTTATTGCATCAGAAAACAATAATGAACGAATTCAAAATGAAACAGCAAGTGAAATATCGAAGCTAAAGAAAGCTGCTTCTGAATATAAGAAGATTTCAATAGAAAACGAAATGCTCAAAGAAAAAATCATTCAATTGACTCCTCAGAAACAAATGAGTTCACCAGAACCTAATGTTCTATCATATAATTCACCACAGTATAGAACTCCAACCATTTATTCTACACAAACTGAAGCAAATACAATATCTCAATTGAAATCACAGAATAGCTTATTGGAAAAGCGAGTTTCTGATCTCCAAAATGTTATAAATGACCAGTTGCAATCTAAAACAAAAGAAATTCAACTTCAAAAACAAATTGAAATTTTAATGCAGAATTTATCAAATAAAGAAAAAGAAAACAACGAGTTACGAGCTAAAATGAAGAAATCAAACAGTTCGATCTCAGACAATTTGACTTCTGCTGATAAAGATATGGTTTTCACTACACAAGATGAGGAAGAGTCTGAGGATGAAACTTATACATCTAATAATTCAGCAGAAGATATTTAACGACATTTGTTATTTAATTTGTTTAATTATGATTTAGAAATAAAATTATTGTTATTTTATGTTAATAATTAGTATTATGTGAATCTTACTGTATGACAATATATAGTCATTTAAGTGATCTTCTGAAAATCTCAGCATTTTGCAATATTATTAAGATTTTTCATTAAGGGATCACCGCTTTAGTTTACAACTATTCAATTTTCGACACTTCGAGGTCTATTTTCTCTTGATAGAATAGATATCATTCTGCATAAGCATGACCATAACATGTCCATACAATTATCTACCTATTTGTCGTTTCAGATATCAAAAAGAAGAGATTTGATCAAAACCTTAAACATTGGAGTTTCCACTGAGGGGACGATCTTTAAATTGAACGGTCAATTTAAAGGAAGTATTCAATTTTTTGGTCAATTTAAAGCAATGAATGAGAAAAACTTTGAGCTTAGGGCAAATGAAGGTTTTTACAACGTAGATAGATAGACAAACGTATATGTCATCATTTCAATGAGTATGGTAGATTTCTATAAAAAGTGAGTGCAATATCACATTGCATTTCGAAACATGAGAGAAATAAGCATATATATACGTTATTACATATATATTTATATGCTATTCTATATTATTACAATGTTAAAATAAGAAAAACTCTAAGAGTCTCATTTGAAATATAATCTATTTTATTTTTATATAACAATTATCAATTAGAATGTAAATTATATTTGATTAGACGATAAATAATGAATAGACTTAATTATTTATGATTAGACATGTGTGAATAGAAAAATTTGTTAACATTTATGAAGATAATGTGTTTTGATTGAGATTACATTTGTGCTTAGTGGGATTGCTATTATATTGCATTTATATGTGTAAATTAGGAAAACTCGCACTTTTTCACTTGAATGTGATTCATTGAATTTTAATTCAAGAAAGGAGTTTACAAATGCAGAGTATTGTTCCTTTACCCTGCATTTGTAAACTCCTTTCTCGAATAGCTTGCACTTTTTCACTTGAATGTGACATTGAATTTCAATTCAAGAAAGGAGTTTACAAATGCAGAGTATTGTTCCTTTACCCTGCATTTGTAAACTCCTTTCTTGAATATCTTCATTTCTTTTAATTATAAATATCACATTCTGTATAAAACTCCTCAAATATCCTCAATTTCCCATTACAATAATAAATAACCATTTTCTATATTTCTTAAATTTCTCTAATCCTTAATTTTCTTATCAAATTTGTTATTTTTTCAATAATTTTTAAAATTTTCTATTATTTTTGGAAATTTTTATTTAATTTTGTGAGAAATTTATTCAATTCTTATTATATAATAATATTATTCAAAAATATTGTTGTAATTTTTCAATGATTACGATAATTTTTAATTCAATTTTTAATCGAATGTTTTGATGGGACGAGCTTACTGAGCATTGGCTCATCCCATCAAAACATTCCATTCAAAACTCTGGCCTTCATCGAGGCCAGAGCTCACAATTCATCTCCTCAGAGCCAAGTTCCTCGACGGTCGTCCTCATTAGGCACGATCCGAGAGGAACTTGGCTCTTCATTAAAATCACAAGCTCTGGCCATTTCTAAGGCCAGAGCTTCGCAAACCATCCTCGGGGCCGGTTTCCTCAAAGACCGCCCTGATTCAGGGCGGCCGGAGAGGAATCCAGCTCCGAGAGAGTGCCCATACGAAGCTCTGGCCTTAGCAGTGGCCAGAGCTTTCAAAAACAATCCTCAGGGCCGAGTTTTGCGATGATCGTCGATCATGTCGACAGTCTCGCAAGAACTCGGCCCTGAAAGACATACAGATACAGGCTCTGGCCCCAGCAAAGGCCAGGGCTTCGTTTTAAATACCCAGGGCCGGCTTTCTCAAATGCCGCCCTTATCCCGGGCGGCAGGAGCGAAAACCGGCCCTGGGAATCCTACAATACCAAGCTCTGGCCCTAGCAGCCAGAGCCTGCAAAATTCATCCTCAGGGCCGAGTTTTGCGATGATCATCCACATGATAGACATTCTCGCAGAAACTCGGCCCTGAAAGACGTAATATCACAGTCTCTGGCCTCAGTAGAGGCCAGAGCCTCGCTTACATTACTCAGGGCCGGCTTTCTCAAATGCCGTCCTGATCTAGGGCGGCAGGAGAGAAATCCGGCCCTGGGAAGCATGAAATACGAAGATCTGGCCTTATAAGAGGCCAGAATCTGCAAACACTCCCTTCTCTACAGATTATGATCCAATGTAACACAGAAAGCCTAGAAGGAAGCCCTTTCTCAGGGTTAAGACTTCCTTCCTGGCTTTCTGATACTGGATGGAGTGGGGTTTGGCTTCCATTGGAACTCCTTCCAAGAAGATCAAATGATTACACAAAAGTCATGGCAATTGCATTCTAACACTATAAATACAATTGCCATGGCCTACAATTGCGAGTGCCTGCTGCTTCAGCAGAGATTTGCAGCAGACACTCGCAATGTTAACCAAAATTCGTCTGAAAGTTAGAAAATGGGCTTTTTCTCAAGGTCAAAGTCCATTTTCTAACCTTCTTATATTAAAATGAGCATTTTGACAGATTATTATTTTTTATCCCGGCATCATCAGCTTGTCCTTCTAAGCTTATCATTTTCAGCTTATACTTATAAATTCTAAAACAGTGATTATTGAATTCACGAAATAGAACATCACATTAAGAAATATTATTTACTAACTTTTTCAATAATTAAAAAATATCAATGATACTTAAGTGTCATCACATACAACACATTCTTATGATCATCATAATATATATTATAGAATATTGCATAATAATCCAAATTCAATTTCAATATTAAAGTGTACTATCCATTATCTCTTAACATCATAACATACTCAACGAGTACTGATCATATGCTATTGATCAAGCCTTTAAAACAAACTACATATATGATTGCTTTAAATTGACCAAAAAATTGAATACTTGCTTTAAGGGTGCACCCGTATGTACGTTTATTTGAGAGGATGATTACCCTCTCAATTTTGAGGGATTCGTTAGTTTATTTTCTCGATGAATATGCAATAAAATTTGATTTTTACCTTATCAATATACTTCATATAATATACACATGTTCATGTAAAAACTTTTTTCCAAAATCCTCAGGAATTAAGGGATTTTTGAATTTTAAGAATTTTTTTCGAATTTTTTCGAAAAAAAAATATTTTCAGAACAGCCTTAACGGCTAAGATTTAGGAACAATGTTAAGTATCAAAAAGAAAGGAGGTCTGATATAGACAACATATATCGTTGAAGGTTGAAAAAATCTCTAATATTTGAGCCCAAAATTTCAAATTTTAATTTTTTTGAAAAAAGAGGCCACCCGTATGTACGTTTATTTGAGAGGAGGAGGATTATATTTTTGAAAGGGTGAAACATTATGAATATGTTAATTATATAATAATATGTATTATTATAAAAAAGAAAAAATAAAGCACGTTAAAATTTTTCTTTCTTGATTTTTTACAAAATCTACTTAGAATTATGCAAAATATGACTAATTAATTATAAATTTCAAGTTAAATTTTAATTTTGATAAATAATTTAAATTTCAAAATATCAAGTTCAGTTCGACTATGTATGTAGTAATTCCTCAATAAAGTGCCAAAACCCTATTAAAATATATGAACATTTTCAACATTTTAATGTTTTTATTTAAAAATTTGATGGAATATGAGCTTCAAACAATTATTATGTAAATAAAAATAATTAAAGATATGTATTTATTCGTATTACAACCGTAGTAAGTCGATTCTTCCTTTCTTCTACTGAGTTTTGAATTTGATTTCGAATTGTAAAGAGATTCAAAGGGAAAATACTAGTGGATAAAAACTACCTCCATGAAAGGGTCATAATGGAGTCAAGTTGTATTTTTTGATATTTTTTGCTTTTCGAGCCTAAATAGGTAGCCAAGATAATGCCTAAAAATAAGGTTATAAATTCTGAAGTTTACATGATCCTCTCGTGTGCACCCTTAAATTGACCATTCAATTTAAAGTTCGTCCCTTCCACTGAGAGCAGTTAGTATACAATAATGTGGTACTGTTGTAAACAGAAATTCATCAAAAGTGACACCTCAGAAAAGCTAAAATATTGAATTTTTGGAACTTTTGATAGAGCACGTTTTTAAATATTAATTAAAGTAAATGTATATTTTGTAAAGATTCTTTTTAATAAAAAATAAAATTTTGAAGAAGAACACAAAATCTTCTGAAAAATAATATCACATAAACTCATATTATTTTCTAATATATAACTATTTTATATAAAAATCAAATTCAATGATCTTAAAAGCGAAGGATAAACCTCAAAATTTACGAATATAATGAGTGGGAATATAATGCTTATCTATCATAAAACCATATGAAATATCAATTTTTGCTTTACGCCTAATTTTTGACGACAATTAGCAAAAAATGTTAAATGTTAACACTCAGTCCATTTGAATATGAAAAATAAAATTGACTTTGATTAAATGTTTTTATTTATCATGCAATTCTTCTTGCGACCAAAGATTTGAATAAAAGTTCAAAAAATAAGATAGCTTAAAAAATAATATACGGTAGTGTTTACTAATAGATGAATAGTATATAAATTCTATTAAAATGGATTTGATCCAAAAAAATTATAAAATTTGATCATAAATAAAATCGTTTTAAATTACTTCTTCATTTAAATTATAACAATTATTTTTGGTTTTATATTTTTTTGGATCAAATCCATTTTAATAGAATTTATATACTATTCATCTATTAGTAAACACTACCGTATATTATTTTTTAAGCTATCTTATTTTTTGAACTTTTATTCAAATCTTTGGTCGCAAGAAGAATTGCATGATAAATAAAAACATTTAATCAAAGTCAATTTTATTTTTCATATTCAAATGGACTGAGTGTTAACATTTAACATTTTTTGCTAATTGTCGTCAAAAATTAGGCGTAAAGCAAAAATTGATATTTCATATAAA